AACTATACTGTGTTGTGATGGTGGAACTTTCAGGAAATTGTGTGCAAAACAACCCCGCACTTGCCCTGTTATATGGTACGTACAGTACGAGGAGCATCACTTTAATTTGACATGAATAGTTAGTATGTGACTACCTTGAAACCCACAACATATGGTTTGAATCACAATGTAAGAATGACTACTTGAACCTTGTTGTTGTGAGTGATTTAAATCAAAGACACATGGACCGTTTACTAAAGAAAACCTCTTTCTAGACTTAAGTTTGCTTTTAAAATAATCCCATGGCCATGGAACACAAATATATATTTAATGAAAAATGTGCTAAATTAATACAGTTTCATCTTCAAGACAAAGCCAGCGAGAAATCTGAAATGGTGTGTGATGGTCTTGTGACATGCGCTCAGCGCTGAGATGTCCGGATAAAAGCATCATTATGCAGTATGGTGAATGTGATTTCCGCAGTGTACAGTAATACACAGTCCCTGAGCTGTTGTGGGTGAATGAAGGAAACTCTTATTCCAGAGAGACACACACCACACACACACACACACACACACACACACACACACACACACACACACACACACACACACACACACACACACACACACACACACACACACACACACACACACACACACACACACACACACACACACACACACACACACACACAGTGTCCTCAGCTCACATCAGCCTGAAAACAACAGAGAACTGACTTCAGCTCACTACTGCACAGGAACATTAAAGAAACCTGTGTGGGAACAGTCATTGTTTGCACAATGCTGTTTTGAGGAAACATGCTGCCGCTTTAAAAGGCTTTCAAAATCTAGACAACATAACCATTTACAAGCACACAACAAGCTGAACCAAGACCAACGGACACAATCAGGCTCGTAAAAGACAATAAACAGGCAGCAATAGAAACACAGTGTCTCGGTGCTCACTCAGTGTGTGTGTGTGTGTGTGTGTGTGTGTGTGTGTGTGTGTGTGTGTGTGTGAATAACCCTATTGGTGTCATTGTGTATTTCTGAAATACGTGTTTCAGATGAGGCAAGAACTAGGGGTTCTGAATGACTAGAGGGTCTTAAAGGAATAGTTACACATAATTTACTCAATTTACTTGATGGACCCCATTGATTTCCATAGTAGGGGACAAAAAAATACTATGGAAGTCAATGGGGCCCATCAACTGTCTGGTTACCGACATTCTTCAAAACATCTTATTTTGTGTTCAGCAGAAGAAAGAAATTCGTACAGGTTTGAAACAACTTGAGGGTGAGTAAATGATGACAGCAAATTTCATTTTGAAGTGAACTATCCCTTTAAGGAAGCCCTGTATAACTAGACAGGTTTAGCAATTTTTGTTTTTTCAAAGTTTTTTCAATTTTTAGCGCATATTGATGCAAAGCAAAGTCTTTCACCTAACAGACACGCAAAACATTTTTCACAAAAGTGGTTCTATCACCCTCCAAGGCTGTTAAAAAATGGTCACACGTATGCGGTTCACAAACTTGACTTGATTTTAAATGAAATAACACCAATAGCCCGCAAACAATAAAATTATGTAAAGTTAAAACATTAAGAAAACATGATAATGTATCATGTATTGGGTCAGATTAATGCTATCTGGTTTAAAAAAAAAGAAAAAAGAAAACAAATACGAATTTATGTCAGGTCATAAATCATGCAATGACAATAATGACCAGTAGATGGCTGAAGTGTTCTTTGCTGCTACCAAATGTGTAAGAATTCTAGATTTGATGCTTTTAAGTTATACGTTTCCATAAATACATGTATATAATACACATTCATATACATTATTCAACACAATTCTAAAATTGTTTCTAGTAAGGGTCTTGCTACTAGAGCCCTTAAAGACACCTGGTGATGGGTAAAAAACAAATCTTTTTTTTTTATTTGGATGCTTTTGCATTCACTTTCAAAACTTTTGTGTTTACCCAAGAAACTTTACTGGTCACTCGCAAAGCCTTTGTGATAGAAATAATACAAGTTGGGAGCAAAACTACATTTGAACAATTCTCAGGATAATGCAATACTTGTGCGAGAGAACGTAACATTTCTACGGGGAACACAATACTTCCACGAGAGAACGAAGAGTCTTGGGGGAAAGCAATACAGTATACAGTACACCGCCAATGTGTGGCTTTTTCGTTTGACCACTTTTTTAGCCACTCAGATTGAGGAAACCATTAAACACATTTAAATCAAACAGTCTCAGAGGGTTAAAGGAGATGAGAGATTTTTAGCATGCTGACAGTCTAAAACCAAACTCAGTTGTCAACAACAATGACCAACTAGTTGTTTTTTGGATGACTATTCAAGAAGTCAGCCATAATAACCCATCCCAAAACACCTTCCTGCACTAAGGGACTCCACCAGACACTACTAAGGCATAAATATGTTCCTTGTGCATCCTCTCACAAGAGTGCAGAGCATTTTCAACATTTAGTTGTGTAAAATTCAATCAGAGCAGAGTCAGCGCATTACACAGAGTACTTTAAGATCCTAGCAGGATCTTCTGCCCTTAAAGGAAATGATACTCCATCAAATCGAATCAAGGGTCAAAAACATCCTCAAGCAAGTCACAGTGATGTGGTCATCTCCAAACCAAACAAACCTCACACCACAAACACACTCAACTATTAAAACACAACAAGCCATTATAAAGCTGCCTGAAACACCAGCACAAACACGTGTTGTTAGGAGCACATTTGTTAAATGTGTCTTACTTTGATTTGATAGGGGGGCTCGTAGTTCCTATGAGGGCAGAATCCAGCACACAGTTCCAAAATACTTTTCATGGCTGTACATGTACATCTGTTTACTGCTCATGACCACTGTTCTCATCATCTGTGCTGGAGCATGACAGCCCCTGCTCCATAACTAAAGCAGGGAAACCCTGTGTGTGTGTGTGACATACACCTGTTAATCACTGATCACCTGACCCTTCTCTGGGTGGAGTCTGGAGTTTGGCTCTGAGCTTTCAGTAGAACGATATGCAATATTTTGGAACCACATACTCTATTTTTGTCATATATCAAGAGAAGTATGCCAGTATGCAGTTCCAAATTCAGCAATAGTGTGCAACAGTTGTGTTATGGAAGTAAAAAAAAGTTAAAAATTGATTTTTAATGATAATTTACAAATGTAAGAGCTCCGATGTTAATCGATGGTATATGCTTTTGTTGAATCCATCTGTTTGCATTAGGCTATTTCAACTTTTTTTTTTTTAATAGTGTTTAATGGCAGAATTTGTGGTGAAAACTACAGTACCCATAATGCTGTGCAGAAAATTCCATCAATCAGAGAGTTGCGGCCATAGATATCCATAATAAAGGCTAGATGTCTCGTCCGCGCTGCTGGCCAATGGAGGTCGACGTCCGCACCTGGCGGCCATCTTGTCACAGGCAGCTCGCTCACTCGTGACATTGTGTTTTAATGGTGCATGTACTTTTAAAATAACCATAACTTGCTCAATTTTCTACCGATTTTCAAACGGTTTGGTTTGTTATAAACGTCAGAGATGTAGTTATGACACTGCATACTTATGAATAATAAGTGTATCAATAAATAATCATCCAGAATTATAGCTACGTTAATAACGTTTGTAAGAAACCAAACCGTTTGTAAATCCGTCAAGATTTCAACGAGATAAGAGTATTTGTGTTCGTGCTGATCCCTCATCTTACATCAGGTACCACAGAGCCCGCCAGAAAGCTTGCCTGTGACAAGATGGCCACCGGTGATGACGATAGAGACTCCGCCGTAAGACATCTAGCCTTTATTATGGATATCTATGGTTGCGGCCGGCAAATCATGCCAAAAGAGCTTGCAGGGCACGGCCCCTCCCATGATGCAATCGAGTTGGTCTCTATACACTCTCAAAACTACTTAAAACAATCTTCACATAAACCCATTATAATAAATGCCACATTTACCTGAGCCCTTCAATATATCATGGGCCATTTTTTTCTATTGGCCCAGTCAGACCAGTTGAGAATTTTACTTGCCCTGTCAAAATGCACAGAAAGTTATTGTTTTTGATGTTTTTGACCTATGTAACCTTGTAAACAGTGCTTTAAAGTGGCCATGAACTTAGAAATACAAATTTTCCTTGAGCTTTTGACATATAAGAGGTCATCATACTATAAGAATATCCTGTAAGTTTCAGAACTGAAAACTTCCTAAATCAACGCCTACTTCATCATTGCAACTTTGGCCCCGCCCACTGGCGTGTTAGTGAGATGACGAGGAGAGAAGAGCGATACAGGATCACTGGACTAAAAATAGCATTACCTTCCAAAGGATCCTAATGCTAGGAATGTGGTTATGCATATTTTCCAGTTGAGCATTATTTATTTGTATTCGGTACATTGCAACTGTGGATTCTTTGGTAAAACAGTTGCAATTTCGGCGCAGACTTTGCAAACAGACTTTTACGATATGGACTCGACAGTAATGCCACGACATGTGAGTAACTGTGTTAATTCTAATGCCTGATCTGTGACCAGTGATTTTTGATATGTAATGATTCATGTTCAATCTGATGGTCTTTTTGGCTATGTGTCAGTAAATCAAACCAGTGACTAAACTGTCAACTTGACATTGTTTCTCTTAGTAGGATGAAAATAAACAAAGTTATTTCAACTTTGACTAAATTATATAGCCTATAGGAAGGGATCAAATGACACTCCCTTTGCAATCGCTGGAGCTGTCAATCAAACAACACGAGTTTATCAGTGACTGAGTTCTAGATTCCCGCCATTTTAATCAACGAATCTCTTAATTACATTGTGTTTGTACTGTTAGTTATGATGAAAGCATAAAGAATACCTAAATGACTCAAGGTTTGGCTAGTTATCCTAGCTCCTTTAGCACCTGATGGTAAATGTTCCCTGTGTGGGGGGTTCCCGTGACTACAGTGCACCTAGCGAGAGCTGCTCCAGAGGTCAGAGGTCAGATCTGTGTGTTTGTACCTTGTCACTGTCCACAGTGTTCTGCGAGGTTCTAGATGCGATGGAGATGGTGTCCGGCTGACTGCTGCCATCTCCCTGACTGTCAGCATCATCTCCAGTGTCCCTGCAACCAAACACACACATAAAAGTCCCGATTAGGCATGTGCCCAAAGCTGAAAACTTTATTCAGAAGGGCATAGAAAATGACTCCAAAATTCAAACAAATAATAACATCCGTTAGATACAATCTCTCCTTGTTCTTGCTGGAGAACCGGTGACCCAGGTGACAGCATATTTTAAAGTGACAGTGCAATAGTGATTGTGTAAAGTGAATGAGTGTAAACTCAATGAATGAAACAACAATCACATGGCAACTATGTTACGTTTTTGGCGAGTTGGTGACTAATTTGTCTGAATACATGCAATTTAATTTGCACCTTTTTGTAAAATCTAAAAAATTTTATACAAATCATATCATACAAAATTATACGAAATCGCCACATTGTAAAAGTTGCATATACAAATAGTTGCGTCCCAGTTACAGATTTAGTTTTTTTCAGAAATTCTTCTATGTTAATATAATGGTTTTTGGACAAACTTTCTGATTTAAGCCCCAGTCATATCTGGTTTTATCCAGATAAAAATACATATAGTTTTGCCATTGCAATAGATCAATTTACAAATATTGGCTTTGCTGCAAACCCTTAGTCCCTATGTACAATTTTTAACTATCGAATGCAGTTTGCATGAAGAGAGACAGTATGGCGAACATATTTCAAATGAACACAAGCCTCCTGCATTGTTATGCATACATTATGATGCATATAAATATTCATGGATATAGAGTTTTGTCTCAGTCTTTCTACAGATTTTCATTAACATTTAGTCACTTCGCAGATACTTGTATCCAAAGCGACATGCAAATGATTTGATAACAACAAACAAAGCAGAATCTACAATTAAAAGATTTACAACTGCGGTATATTTTGAGAAGCATTATGAGAGCTGAGATTATGATTATATGATTTTTTTTTAGGACTGGTGTACAGTACGCAATAGTAAAGTGTGCCTGACCTCTTGCTGTTGTTGCGGGGTTTGGCTGGTCTTTTGGGAACGTGGATCGGTTCCTTTAGCGCCCCCTTCAGGTGAATGATTCTCTCCTGGATGACCTCTCGGATGTTTTTAATCCATTCTTGCTTCACCTCAATACTGGACGCCTGAAACAGACACAGTCATGCATTTACAACACAAGATCCGTGTTTAAAATGTAGGACCTGATCTTTGTTCACAAGAAATTTCACTGATTGGAACATGTTTTACAAATACTCACTACTCTAAAATTGATTGACTAATAATAAACAGAGAGCATGATGTACCTTGAGGACAGTCTTGTTGTCAGATGAGGGTGTGCGTCCCACCCACAGGGCAAATTTACACGGGTCTCCCTCCACATGCTCTGTCACCCCCAATTCAGAAGTCTGTAAACACATGAAACCAGAACATCACACACAGATATTTAAATAAATTCAATGTTGATGGAAAATGTGTTTAAGAGCAGAAAAGTACAGAGTACATAAAGGGATAGTTCACCCAAAAAGTTTAAATTCTCCCATAATTTACTCACCCTCAAGCCACCCTAGGTGTACAGTTAGTATATGACTTTCTTCTTTCAGCCGAACACAGAGTTATATTAAAACTAGGGCTGTCAAATGATTAATCGCGATTAATCGCATCCAAAATAAAAGTTTGTGTTTACATAATATATGTGGGTGCACTGTGTATAAATATTTTATATATATAAATACACACACATGCTTGTAAATATTTAAGAAATATTTTCATGTATATACTGTATATAGATTTATGTATAATTTTGATTATATATAAATACAAATACTTTATATATAAATAATATTTTTTTCTTAAATATACATGCATGTGTGTGTATTTATATATATACAAAATAATTATACACAGTGCACCCACATATATTATGTAAACACAAACTTTTATTTTGGATGCGATTAATCGCGATTAATCATTTGACAGCCCTAATTAAAACATATTCTGGCTCTTCCAAGCTTTATAATGGGAGTGAATGGTGCTTTTAGTTTTTGAAGCCCAAAAAAGCACATCCATCCATCATAAAAGTGATCATTTACATTTATAAACTATAATCATGGCTTCCAGTACCGAAGCTGGCGAGCTTGTGATCGTGATACCCACGTTAAACAAGGCGTGAGGACCTCTGAGCAACATAGCTTCCTTATATGAACGGGTAAAATATAAGTAAAGAGTTAAATCGAACAATCAAATGTATTTCTAAACTATTATATAATAACCAATTGGCAATCTAACCTAAATTCGAGGTTGTGATAAAATGGAGTCAGATAAAAGCTTAAATGGAATTAAATTACTTAGCCACACGGAAAGACAGTAACGCGCAGAGACCTTCACCCGTTCTATTGGAAACCTCCATTGGGGGGATTTAGACGTGCTTACAAACTGACCCGACGCATGACGAGTGACCTCTGACCCGAAGCATGACCTCTGACCTGACGGATGACGCATGACCTCTGACCTGAAGCATGACGAGTGACCTCTGACCTGACACATGACCTCTGACATGACGCATGACCTCTAACCTGACGTATGACGAGTGACCTCTGACCCGACACATGACCTCTGACCTGATGCATGATGAGTGACCTCTGACCCGACATATGACGAGTGACCTCTGACCCGAAGCATGACCTCTGACCTGACACATGACGAGTGACCTCTGACCTGACGCATGACGAGTGACCTCTGACCCGACACATAACGAGTGACCTCTGACCCGAAGCATGACCTCTGACCGACGCATGACGAGTGACCTCTGACCCGACGCATGACCTCTGACCGACGCATGACGAGTGACCTCTGACCCGAAGCATGACCTCTGACCTGACACATGACGAGTGACCTCTGACCGACGCATGACGAGTGACCTCTGACCCGACGCATGACCTCTGACCGACGCATGATGAGTGACCTCTGCCCTGATGCATGATGAGTGACCTCTGACCCGACATATGACGAGTGACCTCTGACCCGACGCATGACCTCTGACCGACGCATGATGAGTGACCTCTGACCGACGCATGACGAGTGACCTCTAACCCGAAGCATGACGAGTGACCTCTGACCCGAAGCATGACCTCTGACCGACGCATGACGAGTGACCTCTGACCTTAAGCATGATGAGTGACCTCTGACCCGAAGCATGACCTCTGACCGACGCATGACGAGTGACCTCTGACCCGACGCATGACCTCTGACCGACGCATGACGAGTGACCTCTGACCCGACGCATGACCTCTGATCGACACATGACGAGTGACCTCTGACCGACACATGACCGCTGACCTGACACATGATGAGTGACCTCTGACCTGACATATGATGTAGGAGTAGCGTAAGCTCAGGTGAGAATTGACGACCTGTGACCCGACTCATGATGTGTGACCCCTGACCTGACACATGATGTAGGAGTAGCGTAAGCTCAGGTGAGAGTCGATGACCTCTGACCCGACGCATGACGAGTGACCTCTGACCCGACGCATGACGTAGGATGTAGGAGTAGCGTAAGCTTTGACACCTCTCGCGGTTCATACTATCATCAAGCTCCTCCCACATTTCTCTTTAAAAATTCTCGCTTTAGATTTCAAATTTGTGACCGTTGTGTTTTGTTTTGCTCTTTCCTCTGGGCTTTATTAACCCCCTGGAGCCGTATGGATCACTTTTATGATGGATGCGCTTTTTGGGCTTCAAAATCTAAGGTACCATTCACTAGAGTTCTCAACGGGCCTGAAAATTACAACCCGACCCGACCCGGCCCGTGGCTTTTAAAGCCCGGACCCGATGTAACCCGACACATCAACATGAATTATCTGCCCGAACCCGACCCGCGGCCCGACGCCACCCTTTTGATCGGTGAGTGATGTATGTAGAATGACTGCTGCGCTTGACGCAGAGAGAGAGAGAGCCCCGGCCGCGCGCGCGCACTCTCACGTCTCACACATTCCGCCCATCCAGCTGACATAAACCACATTTCAATAAACGAAAAAAACTATCCAGTGATTAAATGTTTTCTGTATTGACGCAAATCTTGTGCGATGTCCTAAACTGCCGAGATAATCACACACCGCCCCTGAGCAACGGTGATTTCACTTGCAGCAAGTTTACTTTTCACCAACTCCATCTTCTTCTCCGGGCTAAAGGCGTGCACGCAGCGGCGTCAGGTCTGCCCTCGCGTCGCGATGCACGTTGCACGCAGCAGCCAGACATTCTTTACAGTGAACAGCAGCGATGAATAATAATTTTTTTTTTTTTTTTTCACATACAATTCAAAAGATTTAGCCCGAGGTCCGACCCGACCCGAGTTATTTGCAAATATTTTCGACCCGAACCCGGCCCGAACCCGCGGGTCCCGTCGGGTTTGTCGGGCCGACCCGACCCGTTGAGAACTCTACCATTCACTCCCATTATAAAGCTTGGAAGACCAGGGATATTTATTAATATAACTGATTGTGTTTGGCTAAAAGAAGAATATCATATACACCTGAGATGGCTTGAGGTTGAGTAAATTATGGGATAATTTTAATTTTTGGGTGAACTATCCCTTTAAGAGTGAGATAACCTAAGAGTGAACTTAAATGAAAGCAGAACTTTAATAAATGTGTCTGACAAAATTTAAAGCATTTCCTTAGTAAATGTAAGAGTAGATGCTTAAATAGTGTTTGTGAGACAATTCCAGATGACCGGAAGAAAACCAAAGGCACATCTGGCTCTGTTCATAGGCATATTGAACACAGCGAGGGGTGACAAACGCCCCATCTGGTCCACACACCTGCGCTGGCTGCTTCCAGGTATGTGTGGAAACACTTAACAGACTTACACAATGTGCTAAAACAGATGGGAAGTGTAAAACTCAGACATGACTGTGTTCGTGTGTGCACTAACTGACCTTCCCATGGGGCTTTCCTTTCGTTTATGTCATTGAAATAATCTGAAGCAGGACTCATAAGGATTTTTTTCTTTTTTCTGTTGTCCAGGTCAGCTCCGATTTGTTCTGATTGCACTGGCTATATTTTCATTGACCCCATCATTTTCATTTCATTTCTAAAAATGTTTTTGTGTGTCAGAAATATGTATATATTTGTTTATATTTATTATACAGGTATTTACTATTTAAATAATATTATAATAAAAAAAATTTAATTCGCTTTTTGATTTAGAACAATAGCAAGAACTTATAATGTTACATCACAACAGTTAATTAAAAAAAGTAATCATTATTAATTAAACAGTTTTGAAGGGAAATTTCAACAAAACCTCATCTATGTTTACGGCATATTTGCAACAGCCTTCAATAAACAACAGAGTAACAAATGTCTCAAATATTTTGGGGTCATTATGTTTTTTATTAAAGAAATCAATACTTTTATTCAGCAAAGTTGCATTAAATTGATCAAAAGTGAAATTAAAGACTTTTATAATATTACAAAATATTTATATTTCAAATAAATGCTGTTCCTTTGTACGGAAGCGTATTGCATTCACTTGAGGAAAAAAAATCTACTCTGTTTTTCTGAATTAACAAGTTAATTATCTCAGAATTACGAGATCATTTTTCATGGAAAAAAGTTGTTGCTCTGTTTTTCTGAATTAACGAGTTAATATCTCAGAATTATGAGATACATTTTTCTTGAAAAACATTTTTTTCACTCTTTTTTTATGAATTAATGAGTTACTCATAATTTTGAGATAATTAAGTCATTAATTCAGAAAAACAGAGCAAAAACTTTTTTTCCATGAAAAATTATCTCGTAATTCTGAGATAATTAACTCGTTAATTCAGAAAAAAACAGAGTACATTTTTTTTCCTCAAGTGAATGCAATACGCTTCCCGTACTTTTGAACTTTCTATTCATCAAATAATCCTAAAAATGTATCATGGTTTCCACAAAATTATGTTTTTAACTGTTTAGATAATAATTAGAAATGTTTCTTGGGCATCAAATCAGCATATTAGAATGATTTCTGAAGGATCATGTGACACTGAAGACTGGAGGAATGATGCTGAAAATTCAGCTTTGATCACAGGAATACATTGCATTTTAGAGTATATTCAAATAGAAAACAGTTAAATAGAATTAATATTTCACAATATTACAATATTTCTGACTCAGCCTTGGTGAGCAAACCGTAAGAGACTTTCTTACCGAACCCAAACTTTTAAACTGTAGTGTATATGATGAATGGATGTAAAATGTAGTGAGAACGCATCACTGACCATCGTCTGGCCCATCCTTATTGTGAGCCCTGTGTGTGTGTGTGTGATACTGCGTGTGTGTAGACGGAGTGATATAACCAATACCAGTAGTTTGTTCTTGTAGATGTATTTGGATCGTCCCGCAGAGTCTTTGATCTCTTTGCTGAAGACGAGGGAGATCTCGAAGAGGAAGAGGTGGCGGTCTCGTCCCTTACGGATCAGGGATTTGGGGTCCCACACCTGGAAGGTGTCCTGCAGGATGAGTTCACCCTGAACATCCAGATTCTCATCAAAACCTGACGAGAGACAGAGGGCAGAAAACATCGTGTCAGAGGTTGAAGGCTTATTTAAGGTTATCAGTAGAAATGACAAATAAGTGTTTGAGTGTGTGTGTGTGTGGGGGGGGGGGGGGTCCTGGTCCTCACAAAGATAGTATTTTTGACCTTGTGGGGAAATTTTTTCGGTCCCCATGAGGAAAACTGTAAAAATGCAGGAATTTTTCTGTGATGGGTAGGATTAGGGGATAAAAAATACATGGAATGTCTATATAAAACATGAAAACCCAACGTGTGTGTGTGTGTGTGTGTGTGTTCAGTAGTGTTGTACCCTCCAGCATGCTGACGTGCATGGCGTCGTTGGCTCTCTTTGGCACGCTCAGCATGACCTCCAGCCCATCTTTAATTTCACCTTTGCCTTCTTCACAGCAGGACAGCAGCTCCTGTAAGCACACACACACTGTACTGCACTGCACACTACACAGTGCACTCAACACCACACCCCATCTTCCCTTCAATGCCTGGAAACACACAGTACCTTGAGCAGCAGCTGGTATTTGGTGATTCTCTGCACAGGTTTAATGAGGTATGATGATATAGAGTTGGTCAGACCGTGTCTCTTCTGAATCTCCTGTTCAGAACAGATGAAAAGAATCATCATATATAAATAAAGCATAATTCATACACACTGACAATTGCTAAAAACGATTCTCTCACTGTGGTGAATGTAACAGTAACACGTGTTCAGTGACTCACTGAGTCAATCTACTGATCAATTTATAGTGCTCTGTTGAACATGCATGAGGTCTTTTTATTGTAAATTGTATTTCAGTTGATTTACTTTATTTCAATAATATAAAAAAACAACAAGGCATTGGCAAATTGCTGAAAAAAAAAAAAAAAGATTTTTTGGAGTTAATTCAATCAGACAGACAGATGGTGAACCAGATGCGCTTCTCCTTTAAAAACTACTTTAAATAGATTTCCATTCAATATTTTTCAAGTTTCATGTCACCACACACCCAAGCAGAAACGCTCCCGATAAATGATTAGTTATTAAAACATCTGTTCACAAACCACTGTTCATTTGAACAGAAACGCAAGCTTAGGCTACTGCATGCATGGTTTATGAAAGAAAGCATGCAAAGATCGCTCCCTTTATAATCAATTAAAAGCTGTCACTCATCTTAGTAAATCACGATCCCACAAAGTTCCGTTATATAGCTGTCTACACAATGAATCTCTTATTTACATAATGCATACGCTTTGTTTGTTATGATAAAAGGATTCACAAGAACTCAGCACTGAACTGAATCTTCTGCATTTGAGCGATGAGTGGACTCAACTTAAACACCTCTGATTGGCTATTGCGTTCAAGAAATCAACATGCATGTTTCTGATTGGCTACATTGCCCAACACTGCAAAAACACGTAATAAATAGAAACCTTTGAAGCGTTTGCCAAATCTGTTTCGAAAACCAGTTTGCTATTATCATGGAGGAAACTGATCCTGGATAAGATGTTAAAGGGATACTCCACTTTTTTTGGAAATAGGCTCATTTTACAACTCCCCCAGAGTTAAACTGTTGAGTTTTACCGTTTTTAAATCCATTCAGCCGATCTCCGGTTCTGGCGGTACCACTTTTAGCATAGCTTAGCATACATCATTGAAGTGGACAAGACCATTAGCATTTCTCAAAAAAAATGACCAAAGTGTTTAGATATTTTTCCTATTTAAAACTTGACTCTTCTGTAGTTACATCGTGCACTAAGACCAACGGAAAATGTAAAGTTGCGATTTTCTAGGCTGATATGGCTAGGAACTATACTCTCATTCCTGCGTAATAATCAAGAAACTTTACTGCCGTACCATGAGAGCAGCAGGCGTAATGATATGACGCAGCTGGGGACTATTTTCAGGCGCTGCGTCATATCATTACGCCTGCTGCTCTCATGGTCTCATGCTCTCACAGTTTAACTCTGGGGGAGTTGTAAAATGAGCCTATTTCCAAAAAAAGTGGAGTATCCCTTTAAGGGCGGCAGGCATTGGTTTGAGTTAGAAAATTCCACGCCGGTCTCAAATACGTGGCTCAGTCTATAAAATTAGATAAATGATTTAGAAAACGATGTGTACTCACGTCAAAAAAACTCCCAGCATGCTCCAGGATGAGCTGACTGGAATCTGGTTTGTTTTTGCAGTACGTCACATAAATATTAAACTTGTCAGCCTGAAACACAAACACAATCTTAAATTTAGCATATCAAAGACAAACAGAAAAAATCTGCCATATCTAATTCCAGTGAATATTCACAATGTTCATCGACCAATATAGCATGTCTGTTATAATTAGATGTCTGTCTATAAATAGCATGTCTGTCTCTGATAAAAACCATTTAGCTGGTCTGAATATTGTAAATCTGTCTTAATAATTGGTGCATATGGGCAGCAATAAAATACAATAAAATGAATGAATGAATACATGAATTAATTAATAAATGAACGAATGTATGAATGGATGAGGTTACATTTTATTTTAAGATCTCAATGTTACAGTCTAATTATACAAATAAGCACTGACTCTGATTAATATTAAATAACAAACATACTAGGGCTTGGTTTTGATTTAGGGTTAGTTGGTTGTAATTATGCACAATTTACTGTATTTATTTATTTAAATACATACATACATACACAGTTTATATAAAATTGTCTTTAGAAATAAGAAAAAGTTCGGTGCACAGCGACATAAATCCTTTCCCGAATGAATTGAGTGTGAAAAACACTCACCCATGTAACAAAGCAATGGCCCACATCCTCGGGTAACTGCTCATAATTGATCAGCTCTTTCAGGAATATACTACGACACAAACAAAACAACATGCAAATGAATCATAATCACTACATTCCCATATCACATGGGATACATCATTTGCATATGTTTCATTTTAATTGGAAAGCATATTATTCACTTCTTTCATCTGCATACAAATATGAAAACTGTGTATATATACGATGATAAAAAGCTTGATGGCTTATGGCCTAATAATGTAATTAATATTTGATTTAATGAGATAAACTCACTTGTTGTGAAAGTCATAAATCTCCTGAATGTTTCCGAAAATGATGTGCTCTTTGTTGGCGATTCCTGAAGGGATCTCCTCGACACCATTGGTCATCTCCCACAAATATGTCTAATAAATAAAATAACACAGGAAATGACATGTCAACCATCATTGGAATGCAGTATCTCTATGTACAGTACGTTCACAGCACAGTAAAGACCTTTGGCGTCCTACTGTGTAATCTCAAGGAAAACTGGATTAACTTGTTCTTTTGAAATAAGGGAGTTTGATTTACTATGCAGAGAAAACTCCATCCCAGTTCACTCAGTACCTACTGAGAATAAAGCCGAGCCTGATGAACACACGATGAACAGATTTACTAAACAGGGTAAATTAGCACAATCCCATAAAAGCGCCGACGGGAGTGGAAAGTTAAAGACACACAAATTAAAGATCATTTCCATAATGACCAACGCAATCTACCAAGAGCAGCGCAAATTAGCGACTGGTTTAAGACATGCTTTTTTTGGGCGCTAAAAAATAATGGGTCAAACACCAGAAAATTAATGAGGTGAGTCACCTTACATGATTCATTTAAATACTAAGTTTTGCATCTGAAAGGGAAACTCCTACAAATGCATATGCAATAAGTTTAGCCGCAAAACTATCACTGTTCACGCCTTTTCAGCGCTTGTTTTTCACTGGGTGTCTTTAGTAAATCCTGACAGTAGTTTTGAACACCAAAATAGGGTTTGTGTTGGCACAAGCTGTTAGTAAATCTGGTCCCACTGTGGTAAAAATCAAGTTTTTAATGTTGTTTATATGTCTATGTGGTGTTTTAATTTGCTTTAAGACAAAGCATGTGTAAGTTCATAAGTCGACAGCATTGCTGAGTATTTTCTCCTTAAAACTGCAGCGAACCAAAGACAGTCTCAAAAACACGGTTTGAAATCGCTGGTGTTTCTGATGTCACAAACTACCTTGTAACCAATCAGATCAATGTGTGATCGTCAACGAGTGGATCTCTGAGCTGGAGCGAGTGAGTGGAGGCGGGGCTCATTTGCATATTCATAGAACCGCGTATACTAAATGAGGCAAGGGTGTCGAGTTACATTCAAGCTATTTTAAGGCGCAAAGACATTTTTTTCAAGGAAAAAACTTTTAAATATGTCATTTTGGTGATCAAAGATGAGTATAAAGGGATAAAATTATTGACTTATTATCATTAATAAAACAGAAACACTTACCTCTAAACATTCATGTATGTCCCTCACATAAGCCTTTTCTGTCTGTAACAGCTCTGCTATAATAAACCTGCAACAAAACAAACCAGAGATGGAGTATATATGTGGATTTTAAGGGTCTGGACTTGTGAAGTGTGTGTGGAACTGCTGGCTGGAGGCGGTGTGTGATCACTCACTCTTTCTTCCGGGCTGATTTCCTCTTTTCCTCGTTCACCTCATGGTTGGGGTCACGCAGTTTGACCTCTGGGTCGGTCAAACTGGCTGGGATAATATCCAACTCCAGATCCTTATTATCCTGAAACACACACACACAATCAGAAAATAAAATCCACGTTAATTATACATTTGAATGAGGTAAAGCGTCGTTAGGAAGGTGTAATGAGCGCTGTATAGGTCCAGTACCTCCGAGCTGATGCCCAGCGCGCTCTCCAGACTGCAGCGGTATTTGCCCATGCGCAGGGAGAAGTCTCTGTAGCGCTTGTCCACTGCCGTCACACACTTCTTCAGCTCCGTGACGTGCATGTGTCCCTTCTCCACGAAATTATCTGCCAGCTGGATCAGCATCTTCACTTTGTCCTTAGTTTGCTGCATCACACGTGAACATTATGCTATCATGTAGAGTAACAAGATGCATTTATAAATGTCCCTCAGAGAGAGTTCACGTGGACGTATGCGACACACATTAGAGACTAACATGAAATGGACGAGAAAGAGGTGAGGGGAAGTGCGTGTGTCTCTGTACCTTGGCAGAGATGCGGAATTCATCATATTCTTTCAGCAGCTCCTGAGATTTCTCCACAGAGTCTCCGGGGGACGTGTGAGTGGTGAGATAGACCTCTCCTGCCTCCTGTATCCACTCGAGTGCCTGACACAGACACAGACAGACTCCATCAAATCATGCGATTCAACACACCACTCAGTCTCTGTCAATGTGAGGTCCGGGATTCAAACACACCAAAACATTCACAAACACAATTAAGACTTGGTGAGTATATTCTAAAAAGTGAATGTCTGAACAAATTATTTGAATGTAATGAAGGAATGGCTTCCATACATTTCAGAGCTTAATGTTTTTTATTCAAAATTAATATTTTTATAGTTATTAATTATTGAGTTATGACTACGGGAAGGTGGTAACACTAAACTATGGAAGAATAAAACGGCCACAGAATAAAAAATAAAAAAGGTAATTGCAACTTTTTATCTCACAATTCTGACTTGTGATTTTCTCACAATTGCGAGTTTACATCTCGCAATTCTGACTTTTTATCTCAAAATTGCATGATATAAAGTCGCAATTGCGAGTAATAAAGTCAAAATTGCGTGATATAAAGTCGCAATTGTGTGTTATAATCAGATATGAAGTCAGAATTGTGAGATATAAACTTGCAATTGCAAGATATAAACTTAAACTCGCAATTCAGAATTTACATGTTTATATCTCGCAATTCTGACTTTATAACACGCAATTAAATTGGGAGTGTGAAAATGTACTTTGGCCACATATGCAACTTATTTGTTACAAAACTTTTTTTAAATAATTTATTTAGGAAATGTTTGGATTTTTTTTTTTTAATAAGTATGAAAGTTTGTTTCCACCACAGAATAAAAAAACAAAAAGGTCTTTTTTTCCCCGCAATTGGCAGTTTATATCTCATACTTCTGATTTTTTAACTCACAATTGTGAGAAAAAATGTCAGAATTCAGTCAGATATAAACTCGCAATTGCAAGAAAATGTCAAAATTGTGAGATTAAAAATCGCATTTAACTTACATTTTTTTACTCCATGGCAGAAACAAGCTTCCATCTAATCTACTTTCTAGATTATAATTAGTATAAATTCACAATCATATAAATAATTTGACTATATAATTTACATATAATTTCACTAGCATTTTTAAGGCTGTCAATTCAATGTTAATTTGGTACACTAATTATACAAATGCTACATTTAAGCAAATTAACAATTCATCCTTGAATATAATTAGCAAATTCTGCAGTTAGTAAGGAGTCATATTGTTGTGTTCAAATACTGCTAGATAGAGCACAACACGATAGAAAAGAATGCAGATGTCTTAAAACACGTCTAAAAGCTGAACTACTTTTAATTTGACACAGTGTGTAACTTTGTGTCTCGCAGTCTTAAAAACACGGCATTCATTGTGCATGTCAATGAAGAACAACTCTGTACTTTGCTGTTTAACACATGTGACCAATTATTAAAAATGATTGCATACAGATTACAAGAATGTGTCCTGTATAAAAGGTCTACATTGGATAGACTGATAAACTGAATTGCTGTGGACTGCAGGCCAGTGATAGACTTGATGATACGAAAATAAAACAGTTAAATAAATAAACGTCTCTTTTTGTAACGTCTATATACTGTAATGCTTATTTCAGCTACAATAATGTAATGTCTTTGTGAACAAAATGAATGTAAATTGTCTTAATTTGGGGGCTTTGCTCAGCAAATATTGATGTATATCTCATTAAATGATATGAATCTGATTAATTAGCAAATTCTAATCATTCCAATTTAAATAACTGATTGACATCCCTATTTTGTTATGAAACTTATGTAAAATGTATTGCAGCACTGTGTCAGGGTATGTTAGTTTCAGTGTGTTTTGGTTTGGTTCTGTTCTGTTCCTGTTTGCCCGTCGTCCCAATCCTAGTTTGTTTCCATGGTTACTGATTATGTTAAGCACCTGTCTCTAGTTCTGTTGATTAGCTATGCCGTGTATATAAGTGTTCAGTTGTTTGTTTTGTGTTGTTTTTCCTGCCAAGTGTTTGCCCTGTGATCTCTGCTATTGTGTTCATTATCTTATTAACAAAAAAAGAGCTGCATTTAGATCTTTTCTTCATTGCCTGCCCAGACGTGACACACTATTTTCAACAGCTTTCTACTAAAATCAAAAAATTGAAGATACATTGGCCCTCATTTATCAAAAGTGCGTACACCAAATTTCCAGCGTACACCTGGCGTACACCCAAAACCACGGTGACTTTGATATTTATCAATATGGACGTTGGCGTACGGCACGCTCAAATCCTACGCCAGGTCAGGAGGTGGTGTACATGTACGCACGTTTTGAGTTAGTGCGGAAATGCGCAGAAAAACAATTCCTAACACCACAAAACGCACTGACAAACTAAAAGATATGAGGAGCTCTTTTCCCCAATTTTTAAAAAATAAATTTGTATTTTATTTCTATTAATAAACTAGTGTTGTGTCTGCAAAGACGAAATTGATGATCACCATCTCCGTAGTGAACGCGCCTATAGAGAGAGTATCCTATTTCTTTTCGTTTATAATTGTTTCGTTTAAAGACATTTCAAGCTTTCTTTATAGATATATTTCTCATGTCTGTGAGGCATATACTGAGTTTCGTTTAATTTGTGATGAGATGCGCCCCAGTTCACATGCAATGCAAGGGACAGCGCCCGCGCCTCCAAGTCAATGTTCCCTCTAAGCTGCGCGCGTGCGCGGCCGCGCACTTCTGATGCCTCGGCCGCGCACTTCTGAAGCGGCGGCGCGCAGAAAAGAATAAAATGCCACGCAGATGACTGACGCGAAATGTGTGGGGAAATCCATTTGATTGTAGTCTAAGTGAGAAATAATTGCAGTGCTCTGGTCAACCGCTATAGAGTGAAAACTGGTGAATGCAGTTTACAGGTTTCATAGAAAGATGATGTGAGCGCGTGTGATTGGCAGTGGGTCGTGTGTGCGGACCAAATAGCTCAATACGAGAGGCAACGAGAAACGCAAAGACATGTGAAATAAAGCCACATCATAATGTTTTAAAGAAGAGTGGTTTGATTAAAGTGGTGGAAATAACGGTTGATGGACACAGAACGGTAACAATACACACCCACCCGCGTGCAAACTCAAAATACATCATTAGATTAAATAGATGTTGTTGTGTGTGTGGGGGAGTTTCAGGGATGGTTAGATTATAAAAGATTAGATTATATTCACTTTTCTTGAAAATATTTAGCTATTAGATCTATTTAAATGCTTTGTTTTCATATTATAATAATATAATATGTAAACAAATTTAAGCATTTAAACTGATATATTATATCACTTCAAATACTTCAATTCGTTTTTTTATATTATATTATATTAGGCCTATATTTTATTATATTATAATCCTAAATAAAGAATCTCACAAGGGTATTGTTTAGGGCTCCTTGCCATTAAAAGGTTTGAAACCCCCTGCTAAAGAAAATATTGGAAATTCATAAGCAATAAACAATCATTTAACTTTGATGATTTAATGCTTCCTGTACACAATTAATTCACTGTACAAAAACACTTTATGGTTTTCCCAAACCATCTCAGTGTAACAGCTTAATTTTCTTCCATACTATATTCTATTATTGTAAAGAATTGAACTGTCCTGCAGAAGATTTTGTAAATTATTTTTCATAGGATTTCTTGCTAAAGACTGTACAGTTAACAGCACTGTAAAAAAAAAAAAAAAATCAGGTAACCTAAAATGTGCTTCATTTAGTGACTTCTTAATTTGTTAAGAAGCTTGTTTTTCGAAAATATGATTTAATACCAATAAGTTACATCAAGGGTCAAATAACATAGAAATGGCACATTCAAGTTAATAGTTACAACTGAATGTTGAAACCATTGTGTTTCTACGTATGCTGTACAGGTCAGGTATAAAGAATATTTTTGCTCAGGTGGCGAAAAATGTCCGCCCAATAGAATAAAAGTTTTGCTCAGCAAGAAAAAAAATTTGAGGGAACATTGCTCCAAGTCATGACTCGTGATTATATTGTCTGCTATTTGCTTCTTATTTATTAAATCCAGGCAATTGGTTGATGAAAAAAATATTAAAATTAAGATACAATTTATACAAAACAAAATTCACTTTAAAGAAAGGCTTTCTACAAAACAAAACTTAATTAAGTGGCCAAAATCATGTCTGAGCATGTCTCCCGATATATTGCGCATCCTATCTTAGCCTATGTTCACTTTTCATAATCAACATAGATGGGGAAAAAATAACATTATAATTTTTTAACAAATATGAAACTAAATGCACTTAGTTAATGGCTACAACACGTAGCCTAATAGTAGGCCTGAATATTGTTATCATTACTTTTTTCAAGTTCGGCACGAATGACTATTAGCCTAAATGTGTTACTAAATGATTTGAATGTATTTTTAATATTGTTGTATTTAAGGACTGTATTTGTGTGTTATTTTTAAATTATTTGTTTTATGTGGTGGACAATATTGGAACGTGACATTGGAAATATTTATTTTATTTTTACTATTTAATTTATTTTGTTTGGCTTTTATTTATTTCATGCAGTTGCACTTATTTAATTTATATTCATTTATAGTATGAGTCCCTGATTATATGTTGGATGTTCTCTTGTTGTTGTTTTTTTGTTTGTTTGTTTTTTTGACAAAAAATGGATGGATTTATAGCGTTTTGAAAAAAAATACAATTAACTTTGAATTTATCATCAACAATATTGTTGTTTGATTTAATAATAATTTTTCATGATGGTGATGGTCTCGATCTCCACGTCGGAGAAGTGTCTTCTCTTTGCCGTCTTCCGTGAGTCCATGGCGTAAAATGAGGGCGTGGGGGAAGCGGATACTTGAATATATAGGGGCGTGTTATTCTAATGACGATCGTTTGGCATTTATCAAGGGCAGGTATTGCGTACACCTGGATTTCAAAGGTACGCACAGCTTCATAAATCAGGCGGTGAGAGGAGTGTAAGCATAATCTTACACCAACATATCCGCCCGTTTCTACGCAAGAATGATAAATGAGGGCCATTATCTCTTCTTTCCTTTTCAGGAGCATTCTTTCATCGTAAAACATACTAACAACAAAAACTCACACATTTACAGAGCACAAAACATGCATGCCCTCAAAAGTACAACACAAACACACCAAAATAATGCAGTCATAGGAGTATATTAACACACACACATACACAAATACGAGTTTAGTTCAGTGTTGTCACCTGTTTGGCACTGTGTTCAAACACCACATACTGCTGACACTGATCCAAACACCGCTTCTTCATGGTCCAGAAATGCAGAACCCTGTTTTCCCTCTGTAGCAGTTCGTTCAGGATGGCTGTACAAACACATGACAAATGCTTAACATGAATAAACGAATGACTGGACAAACAAAGAGTGTTTTGTGAGAGAAAAGAATAAATTCGAAGCTAAAACAACTACTTAACATATCAGATCTGATTAAGACATAATTAAATGTGACAACACAGAGTGCAAGCTCTGACCTTTGACCTGTTGCTCAGGACCGCGGGTGTTGGTGGATGACCCCTGAGTGCTGACGTTATTTCGATGGATGTATTTCAGGAAAACCTCAGCATTTCGCCTGGCCAGAGTACATGCCTGAGAAAACACAGCAGACTTTACAGATTCAAAACAGACCCTCACATAACAAAAGTCAAAAGTTTAGACCGAATTTATTTCTCATGATCCTAGAAAGCTTTTGATCTAAAGGTCCCTATAAATTGTGCAGGAGAGACTTCTGCGATTGTTATTATGAAGTTGGTAGATTCATCTGGGCTTGTGTGAGCCTGATAAAGAGATGGCTGTTGGTTCTGTAAGAGTAGTGACCTTGAGAAAAGCCTCTTTCTGCTCCAGGTGTTTGCTGATGAGAGGCAGAACATGATCCGTCTCTGCTGAAGATCCCAGTTTATCATGAGCTCCACACCAGTCCTCATCTCGGCGGTACTCCTGCTCCAGACTCTCCAGCACACTACACACCTGTGAATAAGGCATTAGTATGCACAGGGTTTGTGAAGATAAGCAGGATTTAGAGATTGGGATGTTGTCACTGGCTGGTTGGATATGATATGTCTAAATAATAATAATGAGTATTTTCAATTGAATGTTTAATACAGTTTCTAGGTGTTATTATTAGTTGAATTATTTTTGATTTGATTATACAGTATTTATTGTACATATTTGTTTTATTTAAAAATTATATTTACATTAAGAAATTATTTTCCAGACTGCTGTTGTAGCAAAATATAGAAAGCACTTGTTCAGTGGAGGAGTTTTAAACCATCAAGCGTCCCCTAGAAGAAGATCACTTTGCATCTCATAGTCAACATAGCTAATAAAATTGACAACCCTTTTGAAAAAGTAGTACACGTTAGCAAACTTTTACAAAGAGTACTCGGTAACACTTTATTTTAAGGTGCTTGTAATAAGCAGTAATTAACAGTTAATAAGACACTTATAAGACCTTATAAGATGCATATAAGATGCATATAAGCATTAACTAATTATAATAAATAAATTAAATTAAAAAATAAATTTCTCAAGTATCAATACATTGCACTTTTAGAACAGCCGAACAAACATAAATCGTAACACAAACTCCCAGTCCCTTAAAAATTGACCTTCCCAAGAGGGAGTAGTTTCCCTGATCTCTTCAGGGCCTGGACCTTTAATTAACCCTTATATGAAGTAGTTAATGCTTATATGCATCTTATATGCATCTTATAAGGTCTTATAAGTGTCTTATTAACTGTTAATTACTGCTTATTACAAGCACCTTAAAATAAAGTGTTACCGAGTACTCAATATAGATATAATATGCTTTAAAATAATATACATGTTTTCAGACGCATGCTAATAGATGCATGCTATTTACAATTACTGTAAATTAAAATATGTAATAGTTCAAATTTGTTCATGCAATTAGATTAACTTAAGAGTGACTTCTATTGTCATTGAAATAGGGTTAAAGTGTACTACCAAATATACTGACAAGCAATTATGGTATCGCTAAAATATACTTTAATGTCATTACTGTTATAACTTATGTCATCTATTTAAATGAGTGTTGTCAAACTGATTAATCACGATTAATCATTTGTAACATAAACGTTTGTGTTTATATAATGTATCTGTGTGTATATATATATATATATATATATATATATATGTGTGTGTGTGTGAGTATACATATATTATATAAGCCAACTTTTATGTTAGATGTGATTAATCGCGATTAATCACGATGAATTGATTTGACGGCACTGATTTAAATATATATATTTAATTACACATTTCTAATGTTTCTTTGTAAATATATTGACTTCAAATGTAACATAAAATAACATACTACAGTTAAAATTAATATCAAGTACTTTACATGTGTTTTAGTATGTATGCTAAGTGTTATTTAGTATGCTTTACAATGGCAGTGAATGGCTGTGTCTGTTTTGAAGTCCATAAAAGTGCATCTATCCATCATAAAAGTGCATCTATCCATCATAAAAGTCCTCCACACGGCTCTGGGGCGTTAATAAAGGCCTTCTGAAGCGATGTGATGCGTTTGTGTAAGAAAAATATTCATATTTAACATGTTACAAAGTAAAATTCTAGCTTCCGGCCAAACGGACACAGTCTACTTACGCCTAAAGCGCAACTTATGACGTCAGAAGTAGTGTAGTGCGTTATGGCGTAGCGTAAATATCAGCAGTATGTCGCATTACGGAGCTAGTTATTTTATGTTAGTCAACACATCAAAACAGGTGTACTTCTTTAACCTCTTAACCGTCTCCAGAGCGTCGGCGCACTGAAGCGTTTTTTTATTTATTTAGTTCAAATATACTATCAGATTTAATGTTATACCTTGACAAACTATACATCATTAAAAAGATATAAGACTCAAGATTCAGTATTTGACCACTATTGTATTCTGAGAAACTTATAGTGACAGTTATGTCTTAATTTGTGTCAGGAGTTATGAAATTAAAAAATGAGTCGTTACCTTTAATATGAATTATGAGCCTCAGCCGGTCTCATTCAGAAAAAAACTCCCGTGCGATCGTCATGACAGCGCTTGACAAAACAACGTCCCTCAGGGCTTTTAGCTCAAACATGTGCAGATTTGGAGAAATATTGATAGATTCTCATAGCTTTACATTAGACTTCTATAGACAGGAATAATATTTATTGAATTTATACCCAAATGCGTCGATGTAATCATTTTGAGCGCTGTATACTCTGTACTGTGTTATCAATTCATCCTGAAAGTGAGGGCGCTGTTTGAACAGAAGTCCATAATATATGGATCACATGAAGAAGAGCCATAATCATGTGACATTCAGGAAGTCCTGCCACAACAAAGCTATCCGAGATCGCTGTAAAGTGCAGATAAAGATGTTTTGAAGACAATAAACATGATTGCAATGATATTTGATTTACCTGTGTTCTTCGAGTCATGTCAGGTATTTTCATAATAATTGATTATATGTATAATGTAATGCTAATCGAGATAGACTTTCAAATTGTGCAGAATACAATAAAATAATATATTTTCTATCTGATTTTTTTATCTGAAGCCAAATCAGATTACAGAAAGTTATTTAAAACACTCGACTTGCGCTATAAAGTAAGTTTGGAGAACAAACATAGTTTTATTCTCATAAATTGTCGTGTATTGATGGTGTGCTAAGCTAACATGCTAGCTAGTACTGAGCACCTGCTACCTTACTTCGGTGTAATTTTTATGATTTTTTTCTAAATAAGAATGCTTACTGAAATGTTTCGTTTTTCAAAAAGGGCATTTGATACAGTTTCACTGTGAAGTGAGAACTTTTATAAAATAAATGAGGGATTGAAACAGTGTGAATTGCTAGTCGTTAGTGATTATAATGCAGACAAAAGAAAAGCATATTTAGAGCAATAAACTGGCTGGAGAGGTGTGAATATGTGCAGGGGAGACTGAGACTGAATGGGGCTCGTTTTTGCATCACAAAACAATAGAGGCAATAGACTGAATAGATGCTTATAAGAAAACAATAAACACCAGTCTAATCAAAATAAAGTCATATGACATGATCTTGAAAAACATTGAACTAAATACAGAGTTTTAGACTTATCATCTTCAAATTTTAAATATAACATGGCCAGACATGTGGCTTTAGCTGCAGTGCATTTCTAGATTGCTACAATGCCAACTTCAATTTTATTTTCATGAAGATGTTTCATAAAAATAAATGTATAATAACTTTACAAAACTTTGAAGCTATTTATAACTATTTTTTTCATTATGATAATAATTAATTCTACATTTACAATAAACTTCCAGGTGTCAGCTTTCAAATGAGATCTTACTTGTGCTTTTAGTACAAAGGGTTCATGAACTGTATCTGTTTCAGTTTGGGAATGCCATATCTGGGGATTTTTCAAAAATGGGCTTGAAGCTTAACAGGTTAAGGCATGACAAAAGATTCTTAAAACAAAATGATTTAAAACGTACTTTAAACTAAAACTTTTAATTTGAGATTATTAAAAAGTGCACTTTTCAAAAGTGTACTTAAGAGTACACATAAGAAACAGGAAATCATGGAAGTGCACTCTCTTTGGGTACACTTAAGTGGCCTTTTATTTGATTAATATTATATTGTCTGCAAGTACAGTTTATATACATGCACACTTTTAAAATTTGAAGAGCACATTCGATCCAATTAAGCAAGCTTCTTTTTCACAAGGGTAATGTGCCATTAAAACTAATCTTAGGGCACTTGACTGTCTTGGGTTGTATCAGTCACTGGCCAAAAGGGTCATCTTATCGAGTGTTTCTCAGCACCTGTTCTGATGTCTTGTAGAAGGCCACGGAGGCATTGACCAGCTTGAGTCTGTCCTCCATCTTCAGCATGAGCTGCTGCCAGTGTACCGCCACCTTCTCAGCACAGCTGCGGATGGCCTCGGGGTCGAAGTGTCCCGCCTGTAACAGGATCTCAGCCTTCTGCTGCACCTGGAGTGCGCTCTGATGGGTCTTCTGGAGAGAGTTAGCATGGAACAAAGACTGCAGGGAGAGAAAGAGAGCGAGAACAAACACCTTAGATCGGAGGATGACAACAAAATCAAAGAATGGTAACTATGATTATGTTCGGTACGACACCTGACCACTATCATATCTTTTTCTCTCTCCAGTACCTGTACTGTATCACAATATTTATATTTTGTGAAACTTTTACTTTTAAAGGGATAGTTCACCAAACATTAAAATTAGCCCATGATTTACTCACCCTCTAGCCATCCTAGGTGTACATTACATTCTTTTTTCAGACAAATACAATCATAGTTATATTAAAAAATGTCCTAGCTAATCCAAGCTTTACAATGGCAGTGAATGGCTGTGTCTGTTTTGAAGTCCATAAAAGTGCATCTCTCCATCATAAAAGTGCATCTATCCATCATACAAGTGCATCTATCTATCATACAAGTGCATCTATCCATCATAAAAGTGCATCTATCCATCATACAAGTGCATCTATCCATCATAAAAGTGCATCTATCTATCATACAAGTGCATCTATCCATCATACAAGTGCATCTATCCATCATAAAAGTGCATCTATTCATCATAAAAGTGCTCCACACGGCTCTGGGGGGTAAATAAAGGCCTTCTGAAGCGATACGGTGCGTTTGTGTAAGAAAAATATTCATATTTAACACGTTCTAGAATTTAAAATTCTAGCTTCCGGCCAAATGGACACAGTCTACTTACGCCTAAAGCACAAATTATGCAACTAATGACGTCAGAAGTAGTGTAGTGTGTTATGGCGTAGCGTAAATATCAGCAATACGTCACATTACGGAGGTAGTTATTTTACATTATAAAGTTTTAAATATGAATATTTTTCTTACACAAACGCACCGCTTCGCTTCAGAAGGACTTTATTAACCCCCTGGAGCCGTGTGGAGCTTTTTTTTTTTTGATGGATAGATGCACTTTTATGATGGATGGATGCTTATGATAGATAGATGCACTTTTATGATGGATAGAGGCACTTTTATGATGGATAGATGCACTTTTATGATGGATAGATGCACTTTTATGGACTTCAAAACAGACACAGCCATTCAATGCCATTATAAAGCTTGGAAGAGCCAGGACATTTTTTAATATAACTCCGATTGTATTCGTCTGAAAGAAGAAAGTCATATACACCTAGGATGACTTGAGGGTGAGCAAATCATGGGCTAATTTTCATTTTTGGGTGAACTATCCCTTTAAATCACTACTATACTTTCCAAAGCATTATGTACTTTTGTTCTGTACTTTTACTCAAGTACTTGATTTGTGAACTTCATCCACCACTGCTAATTGCAAAACTTTATGTGTAAGGATAGATGTAACATAGTGTGGTCATGTGACAACAATGTCCAACAAATCACAGTGCACAATCTATTTTTTAAACTAGTATACAGTACATACTGTGCAGCATGTAGTAAACTGCACTATATGCTAATGATCCATTCTGAACATAGCCAATAATTCTACATGTTCTACAAAAAGGAGGATACCCCTGCCTTTAATTTAATAAACTCTTAAATCACACACATTAAAAGAGACAGATCATTAAAAGTAAACATCTATTAGAGGACAGGACATTAACAGGACATTATCGAGAAGCCCTCCTACCCCAGACTGCTGACAGCTTTAGGGTTTCTACAGCCAAACACGGGTCTGTTTTCTCTCTGCTGGCATTGTCATGATGAAGGAAAAAATAAATCTAACTTTAATAGTCAGCGACAGACATTTACGAGCAGAGTCGAGCAGGTAGAGCCTTGTCCAAAGCAGGAAACAGAGTCTGATACCAAATCCTGTGATAAATGACATGACTACTGTACTAAGAGCTAGAGACTCATAGCAAACGGCACATGTAATTCCATTGCTTCACTTTCCTCAGGCAAAAAAAATACCTTAATGTTAAAATTGTATTGAGAATGAGTATTATTGGTCAGAATCTGGTCCTTAAATATACTGCGCTGAGTGCACTCAAAAGAAAAAGCTGTGAATTGCAGTAAAAACAGTGGATCAGCTCCACTGGGAAGGAGTCTGTGGGTCATAAACCCTTCAGGAGAATGTTGTGATCCCTGTGTGAATTTTTATGAATGAACAGTTCTGTTTGAAATAGTCTCAGAGTAATCACTTCCATACATCTAGCAGTGTTAACATGTATGCTGAGAGCAAAGAGAAGGAAGCGCATTTCTGTTTTTGACTAAAAGTGAAGAGAGACCAGAGAGGTGGGTGAATTAGGATGGATTTAGGTTGATTGGGACACTTTAAAAAAACAAAACAAAACAAAAAACTATTTTGATGAGATAACTATTTCAAAATGCAATCTCATTGACGAAAAAAGATTGACAAAACTTTACCAAAATCTCTCTTTATTTTTGTTTAAAAAAAAGAGCAGACAAGATATTACAGATTGCTGTACAGCCTCTCTTATGCCTGCTACAGACTGTGTGATTTCGGCAATCCTATAAGATCATTACAAATCACACTGTACGACGTCGACATGGATCTGATAAACTTGGGTACGACATGTATGTAGACTCAGCGATGATGACACGACACCTATTGAATCGTAGGCCAAGTTAGTGTAGAAGAATAAAACACCATCAGCATGTGCTAGGGGTAAACAAATAGAGCAAGATGAATCGCACTTTGTGGTTTTCATTTGTGCTGAAAGAGGAAGAGTAGAATATGGACGTGGTCATGGCTTGGGAAAAAAGGCCAACTTAATATGCCAATTTTGCAAATGGAGCTCGAGGTAAGTAGTTTTAAGCTTTAGCGCCATGTTTCGGAAATGAATACACCACTTCATGTTGCATTATAATTTTATTAGAGAGTGTGTTCATTTATCCGATAATTATAGCCTATAATAAATCAGGAAACTATGTGGTGAAATAAACCATGCGTATGATTTGACATTCTCTTGATTTGTGCTTAAAGGGGTGGTTCAGGATTTTGGACATCGGGCCTCATTTCCAAGTTAGCCTTAGTGTTATTTATCAGTTTTCAAACATTTTCATCCAGTCGTTCCAGTTGCATAGTTCGCCGGTGCTAGGCCAGCGCGAGTCAACGGTAACTGCTAGCCTGCCATTAAAAACAGTTTTACCCACTCCACAGTACACCAAAAGCAAATAAATTATAACGCCAGACTATCGATGTAAATGTCTGTTAAGAGAATAATGTTAGAAATCAAACTACTCTTGCATCTCAATGATCGCAATACATTTACAGGAACTAGTTTCTCAGCGGCGGCGGAATTTTACTTTGCTCCGGTTAGTAGTGCTGCGCCGAAAAGTAAACACAGAACCGAAGCGCACTACAGTCGGGACTGCTGTAGACTGTGCTAATAAATACAGGGAACAAAGGAAAACTATTGCAATGCAATGAAAGGGTAGTTTGATTTCTAACATTATTCTCTCAACAGACATCGATAGTCTGGCGTTTTAATTTATTTGCTTTTGGTGTACTGTGGAGTGGGTAAAACTGTTTTTAATGGCAGGCTAGCAGTTACCGTTGACTCGCGCTAGCCTAGCACCGGCGAACTATGCAACTGGAACGACTGGATGAAAATTTTTGAAAACTGTCTCCACTGATAAATAACACTAAGGCTAACTTGGAAATGCTCCAAAATTCTGAACCACCCCTTTAATGGGTGAAATTGCTATAATTCTGAAGAAATGTACAAATAAATGTCTCAAATGAAGATCATTGTGATTATAATTTTGAGCAAAATAATAGTGCTTATCAATTTAACCATTATGCAACATGGCGAAAATGTGACACAAAACATTTTTTCATTGACTAAAACTAGACAAAAATGGCCAAACATTTAGGCCTGGTTTCACAGACAGGGTTTAGATTAAGCCAGGATTAGGCCTTAGTTTAATTAGGACATTTAAGTAGCTTTTATAAACGTCAAAACAACGGCACTGACATATTTTAAGATCTGTCAGTGCAAGTTGCTTTCAGTTAAAACAGCTCAAACATGCATTTTAGTCTGGGACTAGTCTTAAACCTTGTCTTTGAAACCGGGGGATTGTCGACGAAAACACGACTAAACAATAACAGAACAAGGTTGACTACATATTACAAAAACTTAAAAGTACATTTAACACAGGAAAAATTGTTGACAAAATGAACACTAGATGGAGCAAATGAATCGGTGTGGAGCTCATCAAAATCCTTTAAAGCCAAAATCTAGACACATACCGGATAAGAACATCTTGATCAAACCTGCCAGATCCAACAAAAAACACAAGTTCAATATACACCAACTAGAGCCTGCGTTGTGTGTTTACCTCTATCGCGAGCTGGAACTGTTCATGTTCTCTCTGTAGTTGTTCAGCCTCTGACAGTGAGCTTGCGTTCACCATACTGGCATCCAACATAGACTCGCCGTTACGAATCCAACCCAGGACCTAAACAACAACAAACACAACAAAAGCTTCTTTAGCACTGAAACACACAGTATCGATATGACCTTATTCAATACATCTATCTAACCACCATGTATTTTGATATTTGCAATTAAATCCAGGAATCTTCTGTATGAAATACCAAACTGATATAGCAGTCAAACTGATCTGAATATTGACACCCCCAGTGTGGGGTGATATCCTGAGGAGACTTCATGTTTCCCTCGGCTCATTTCTCTCCATTAGCGCTTGTAGCGGCAGACACTTTAGGGCCGTCTCTGGCGACAGCACTTTGGCCCTCACTTACACTCCGAATGAGATTAGCTCTGAGAGACACACTGAATCAGCCATCACAGCCGCTTGCATCTCTCTCCATTGATTATCAATCAGAGGAAGTGCCAGTGACAGAGACAAGAGAGAGACACATGAGACGAGAGTGTACTAGAGCCCAGGACTGTGATATATCAAGAACGTGAGATACAACACTCTTTGCTTCATACAGAAGAGCAACCTAAAGCCTGGTTCACACAGCAGGATAATTAGGCCGATTTTAGCCCCGATTTACCCCTTCCGACAATCTTAAAGGGATAGTTCACTTTGAAATTAATTTTTGGTATGTTTTAGCTTACCTCAAGGGCATCCAAGATGTAGGTGTCTTTGTTTCCGCAGTAGTTTCAATTTTGTTATTTTTAGATCAAACCGTTCTTGTCTGTCAGTCGAAAAATATACCGGTCTATGGTCACCACCTCAAAGAGCATACACAGAGAAGTCCAAATTAAACATGATTTAATGACTCGTAAATGTAAGTACACATTGATGGCCTAAGACACGAAACGAGCGGTTTGTGTGAGAAAACGAACAGTATTTATATCGTTTTTTCACTCTTGTAACCACAGCCACGTCCAAGTGATCTGATGGCGCCGGCGCTTCGGTCTTTTCCGGCAAGCGGCGGAAAGTGCCGGAAGTGATCTCTCGCGCGTGTACGTCACTCATTGTTTACACAGAACAGAGATTATAGGTAAGACGGCTAATTAAAATGGTACTAATTTGCGCTTATCCGGGATGTTTAAACCGTCGTAAAAGAAAACAATTAAAAACAAATAAAAAAATAAAACAATTGTATGAGTGACGTACACGCGCGAGAGATCACTTCCGGCGCTTTCCGCCGTTTGCCGGAAAAGACCGAAGCGCCGGCGCCATCAGATCACTTGGACGAGGCTGTGTTTACAAGAGTGAAAAAACGATATAAATACTGTTTTCTCACACAAACCGCTCGTTTCGTGTCTTAGGCCATCAATGTGTACTTACATTTACGAGTCATTAAATCATGTTTAATTTGGACTTCTCTGTGCATGCTCTTTGAGGTGGTGACCATAGATCTGCATTATATGACTGACAGACAAGAACGGTTTGACCTAAAAATAACAAAATTGAAACTACTGCGGAAACAAAGACACCTACATCTTGGATGCCCTTGAGGTAAGCTAAAACATACCAAAAATTAATTCCAAGGTGAACTATCCCTTTAAGGATGCTCCGATTATCGTAAAATAATCTGATCAGATATTCCTGTCGTGTGTGGTGTTAAGACTGCTCTCGTCTGCTCGGAAGGACGTCGGGACCGCTCAGATCTCAAATCGGGGATATCCATTCCAACATGTTGGATTTTTTTGGCCCGATTTCTCCTCGTGTGTGGTGTCCCCCGGGGACAAACGAGCACCCAGCCTGTGGACTGTGGCGTGTAGCCAATCAGAAAGCGAGGTGACGAGGCGCAGAGGAAGCACCTGGAAACAAAATCAAAACAGCCGGCGGCATGGCGCACCAGAAAGTCCGGTGGACGTCGGAGATTCTTTGACCATCGTCTTTTCTTTTTTTTTTCGGTTAAAAACAAACTACAAACTATCGCCACTGCATCCTCTTCGTCCGCCATGATTGTTTATCTCGAGGGAGATTTAGCGAGATTTTCCGTCTGACCTGGGAATGCTCGGGAGTCAAATCGGTTCGTGTGTGATGTGTTGATTTTGCCGTGTGGCAGCGCACCACACACTGTACGTCCAAAACTGTTAGACCCGTGATTTTTTATCGCCGTGTGTGGGGTCTCTCAGGTTTGGAAAATCGGCCGACAATTTTAAAATCGTCCCGTGTGAACCAGGCTTAAGGTGTCCAGTATTTTGTCATTTGTAACAACTGGACCAATGAGGGTGAGTCCTCTGAAAGTGTGGTATTATGGGTAAGTGGTCAACCTTGGTCCTGGAGATGCCCAGATAGCACACATTCTGGATGTCTCTAAGGCCCTGTTTACACCTGGTATAAAGATGCGTTTTGGTCGATCACAAGTGGACGAGGGAGAGACATTCCTGTGTTGTAATTCGTCTCTTTTGTCTACTTTCAACCACTTCTGTCCTGATTTCTTCGAGGGGAGAGTCTGGGGCGGGTAAATGTATGTTTTTTTTTAGATATTTCAATCCAATGGACAGAATAAGCTTGTGTAATTTACTTAATTGTAAATAAGCTTTTGTGGCTGTTTGAACACCTTGAACTTCATGAGTGTTTACATTACAGGAGCAATCCGGTCGAATGGGTTTTCGTCTACCTCTGGAAGTGGTCGAAAGTGGACAAGCTCAAAAGGTTTTAGACCCCGTTTACTCCTGTATTTAGCGTCGTCCACTTGTGATCCGATCGACCAAAGTGCATCTCAATACAGCTGTAAAAAGTTCACTAAACACTTATTTCAGGTCTTAGAGTCAAGCTGATGAGTTGAATCAGGCACATATACAGTGCAACATGTGCCGTGTCGGAGTACTCCAAGGTCGAGGATGGGAAACACCGCTATACAGTATGGACAGTGTGCTAAAAAAAAAATATATTTGGGATATAATTTGCAGCTGTGATTCTAAACAGCTAATATCTGCTTTCTCTTTATCCCAAATACCACAGTAAGAATATAAAGAAAACAGAAGACAGCCATACATTTTCATTGATAAAGTTTCACTTCTGTCCCCAAGATGGATAAGCAGGTATACGTAAGCAATAAGGTACGAGAGGCTGTGCTGTATCGTGAATAAGTAACGGCTGGAGGGCGTTGTTAGGCACGACGCGAAGCGGAGTGCCTGCAACCCCTTCAGCCGTTACTTATTCACGATACAGCACTTGCCTCGAGTACCTTATTGCTTTTATAAAACGGTTGCCACACAATAAAAATATTAAAGCCGAAAAATATGTATCTATGCAACTTTCATGAAGTAAAATCACTAAAAGCCTGCCTTCCGCTGGAAAAAATAGTCCCGGAACGTGAACAGCAACAGAAGTTACATATATTATTTCGCCAATAGATGGCGGCAAAGACTGTCTTTATGAGTGAGTGAGTGAGTGAGTCTGTAGAGAAGAATTTTGAAAGGACTCGAACTTGTGATCACGGAGAAGACAGACGCAACTGACAGATGACTAACGTTATGCACGGAAAACCCCATGACTGTTAAAAGGACAAAATATGCAGCGGACATTCAAACGCATTTTTTTATTATGAATATAGGACTGACCTGAAGGAAAATGCTACGTCTACTGTAAATGCAGGTACACTCGCTTACTCGATCTCTCACAATGCTCTGCTCTAGCTTTAAATGAACAATATCAATGAGATGAAACATCTGTTTAAGTTGCTAAGAGTGGTTGCTAGGGGTGTTGTGTAGTGATACATAGAACCGTTGGGTGAAGCGGTCATAGCCGTGTTTTATCGTGAATAAAGCACAGCTATTGACCAATCAGAATCAAGGATTGGAACTAACCGTTTTATAAAGACAGATACAGTATATGCAAGAGAGTGTGTTTTACCTGTTTCACCTCAGCCTGTAGGTGGCGTAGCTGCACAAGCTGCTCCAGGTGTTTCTGTGTATGTTCAGCACTCAAGTCCAGCTCATGCTGTTTCTCGTGAAGAAACTCCAACAACTCCTGAACTTGAGTGGCCAGATCCACCTCCTTCTCACCGGTCAACTCAATACCTGCATATTACACACAGATACACACTTCTGTTTATATTCCTGCTGAATCTACAGTACTGTCTGAGAGAACTTGTTTAAACAGCACAACACCACTGGGTGGCAGTAGGACAGCTAGTTCAAATCCAGTGTTCTTAGCATCTACAGAACGCTCTTATTTTCCTTAACCTGATTTACTATAGGCTAATCATAGATCTGCATTCAAGGGCAGTTTAACTAAAGGATCATTTACAGTCAGAAAAATAAAGCCCAACGTGTGTGAAGTGATGGGGAGTATAACCACACTGTAAAACCTAACACTGAGAGTCACTAAACGAAATGAGTACATTTAACTTATTTTTTTTTAAAAAGTTGATTTTACTTAATAAAAAAATGTGATATTAACTCAAAAACTGCAATGCATTAAGCAGAACTTAAACCGAATAAGTTATGAATAACCTATTTGTTATTTTAGCTGCAGGAACAAATATCAATGAAACAATTTAGCATCATTATATTAAACATTAAACAATTAAACATTATTAAATGAGTTAAATATGCATAACTGCCAATAAAATAATGTAATTTTTTTTTAGATTTCTTTAGATTTTGGGGTGAAATATAACCCATAATAGGTTAATTAGTGTTTTTAGCTAGTTCACTGAAATAATAATCCAAATAAATCAATTTGGTCAGTTAATTAACTACTAATTAGAGCTAAAATATAAAATCGGGAAGTTTATTTAACTAAACTAAAGTAATAACTAAAATAAAGCACAGTGATATGTTTATAAACCATCTACTAAAGCTTAATTTAGTCATTTTCTATGTTGTCCCAACAAAATCACACACACACACACACACCCCTCCATCGGACATGCAGGCATGTGTGAAAGCTGGTCACAGTAATGTCTGGAACAGACGGTGTCCAAACCTCGAACAGAAGAGTGTCCTCAGCCAAGACCCATATGTGAGAGAGAGGGGGGTGAGAGTTGGGTCAGCAGTTTGAGGAGAGGAAGTCTGTTTCCAGTGTTAAAAATATCTGTGCGGCACAGAGCTGGACATTGGGACGATATGAAGATAAAAGCAGAGAGGAAGAGTAATGTGTGTTGAAGACACGGACAGTTGAAGAGATGGGTGACATAAGAGTTGAGTGTTTAAGCTTGATTGTTTTTACTCAGTTCTTTAGATTGAAACGAAAGCTTTACTGAGCGTCATGTGACTGCGGACTGGAGATCACAGCACAGAGGAGTCTGAATCCCATTGGTCCATATTGCTGTGTCTCTGAAGACTGCCATATATTATTGACACGCTGTCACCTGACACTTCTTCCGTGCTGCTCTCCTCTCTCTGCATCTCTGCATCTATTTCTCTATTAAATCCAACCAGTTCTCATGAGAATTTGTGAGAACCGAATGAGTATTGTGCGAGTTTGCATTCATTTGCATGATCTGACATGTACAAAAGCGTACGATTTGTAGGTAAAACGTTACCATGAAGGTAAACTAATCACCAGCATGAGTAGAAACATACAAATTAGATTGTGCGAAATCATAATTTCGCAACCAATTCACAAAAAACGTTTGCCAAATTATTGTCATGAGACCGTTGATGACTGATCAAGAGATCACAATGATAGATATCATTCAGACGTATTCACTCTATAGAGCGCACACACTCACACACACACAGATACAGGACACTTTTTGAGACATAGTAGATAATTTCAGATATTGTAATGGATGTTTGGTTTGTAACATGCGCTGTAAGCGGTCGACCAATCACAACAGACTGGGCCGTCTGACCAATCAGAGCAGAGTAGGCTCCTTTACCACCTCTATTTGACAACAGCTCATTTGAATCACATTCAATTACCATCACTAGTCCTATAAAAATTCATTTTGTAGTTGTATATCGTCCCCCAGGTCAACTTGGCAGTTTTTTGGAGGAGCTTGATGTGCTACTCTCATCCTTCCCTGAAGATGGTACTCCTCTTGTAATTTTTGGAGACTTCAACATCCACCTAGAAAAACCTCAGGCTGCTGATTTCCACACCCTGCTTGCATCATTCGACCTCAAACGAGTATCTACTGTGGCTACTCACAAATCAGGTAACCAATTGGACCTTATCTACACACGCTACTGCTCTACGGACAATACACTGGTCACTCCACTGCACACCTCAGATCACTTCCTCCTCACTCTCAACCTCAACCTGCCTCAGAACACAACACACACTCCTCCACAGGTCACCTTTCGACGAAACCTACGCTCACTTTCACCCTCTCACCTATCCTCTTTGGTCTCATCCACACTTCCTCCACCTGATCAGCTCTCAACACTTGATACTAACAGTGCAACTGATACTCTTTTCTCCACTTTAACATCCTGCTTGGACAACTTCTGTCCCCTTTCCTCCAGGCCAGCCCGCGCCACACCCTCTGCCCCCTGGTTAACTGATATTCTTCGCGAACATCGTACTAAACTCAGGGGTGCAGAGAGGAAGTGGCGCAAATCGAAAGATTCGACAGACCTGGGTCTTTATCAATCCCTTCTCTCTTCCTTCTCTGCTAATATCTCTACTGCTAAAATGGCTTACTATCACAACTAAATTTTCAATTTTCTGACTCTCGCATGCTTTTCAAAACCTTCTCCTCTCTTCTTAACCCTCCTCCTCCTCCTCCTTCATCAACCCTAACAGCTGACGATTTTGCCACATTCTTCATAGAAAAAACAACCACCATCAGCGGCCAATTTACCAATCCACAAACTGACACACACATTCTACCAACAAACGCACACATTCTACCCTCCTTCTCTCTACTTTCAGAGGCGGAAGTCTCTAAACTCCTCCTTTCCAATCGCCCTACTACCTGTCCGCTTGATCCTATCCCCACTTATCTACTTCAAGCCATTTCTTCCTCAGTTGTACCCACACTCACGCACATCATAAACACCTCTCTTCACTCTGGTACCTTTCCCACAGCTTTTAAGCAGGCTCGAGTAACCCCACTGCTTAAGAAACCCAATCTAAATCCAGCACATCTAACAAGTTACAGACCGGTATCTCTTCTTCCATTTGTCGCGAAAACACTTGAACGAGTTGTTTTCAACCAGATCTCCTCCTTTCTTACACAGAACAACCTCTTGGACGACAATCAGTCTGGTTTCAAAAGTGGACACTCAACTGAGACTGCCCTGCTCTCAGTAATTGAAGCTTTGAGACTGGCAAGAGCAGCTTCCAAATCCTCAGTCCTCATCCTGCTGGATCTGTCTGCTGCTTTTGACACAGTTGACCACCAGATCCTCCTGTCAATCCTAAAGATGAAGGGCATCTCGGGAACTGCACTCCAATGGTTCGAGTCTTACCTCTCAGGTAGGTCCTTTAGGGTCTCGTGGAGAGGTGTGGCATCTAAGACCCAACATCTAGCTACTGGGGTGCCTCAGGGCTCAGTGCTTGGACCACTCCTCTTCTCCATCTTCATGACATCACTAGGATCTGTGATTCAGAAACATGGCTTTTCCTATCATTGCTACGCTGATGACACGCAACTCTACCTCTCATTCCAGCCTGACGATCCGACGGTAGCTGCTCGTATCTCAGCCTGCCTGACAGACATTTCTGGCTGGATGAAGGACCACCACCTTCAACTAAACCTTGCGAAGACAGAGCTACTTGTGGTCCCGGCCAACCCAACACTTCATCACAACTTCTCCATTCAGCTAGGCTCGTCATCCATAACTCCATCAAGGTCAGCTAAGAACCTTGGGGTTGTAATTGATGATCAGTTGTAATTCACAGACCACATTGCTAGAACTGCCCGGTCCTGTAGATTTGCCTTGCACAACATTAGGAGGATCAGGCCCTTCCTTACAGAGCATGCCACACAACTCCTTGTCCAAGCACTTGTTTTATCCAGACTGGACTATTGTAATGCTCTCCTGGCTGGTCTTCCAGCTTGCTCTGTCAAACCTCTACAATTGATCCAGAATGCTGCAGCCAGAGTAGTCTTCAATGAGCCGAAGAGAGCACACGTCACTCCTCTCCTCACACAATTGCACTGGTTGCCAGTTGCCGCGCGCATTAAATTCAAGGCACTGACGTTTGCCTACAGAACAACCGCTGGCACTGCTCCCTCTTACCTAAACTCATTACTTCAGACTTATGTGCCATCCAGAAACCTGCGCTCTGCTAGCGAATGTCGTCTTGTGGTACCATCTCAAAGAGGCACAAAATCTCTTTCTCGGACCTTTACCATGGCTGTTCCCTGTTGGTGGAATGATCTGCCTAACTCAACCAGAGCTTCTGAGTCAGTAGCCACTTTCAAGAAACTGCTGAAGACATATCTTTTTCGGCAGCACTTGATTCAGTAGAATTAACACTTTCTCTTCTCTTCTATTCTATAAAAAAAAAAAAAAAAAAAACTGCACTAAAATTAAACTGAGAGGGGTTTTAGCACTTACGTATTGTTGTCCTACTGTTAGTTTAACTGCTTCTATTGTTCTCATTTGTAAGTCGCTTTGGATAAAAGCGTCTGCTAAATAAATAAATGTAAATGTAAATGTAGGCTCGCGGAAAAGCGGGTTTAGAGAGACTGAATCTTCAAACTAACCGTTTTCAGACTCTTTGAGAAATATGGTGAAAAATATGCTTTTTTGACTTTGGATGCATGTAAACCTATTGTAAGAGACAAAAATAGGAACCTTTAAAATAGCATAATAGGGGCACTTTTCTAGAATTGCATTTAGGACTTATTGGAGTTTTTTAAATTTTGTTCTTAAGAGGATTTTTGCAGCCCCTGGTAATTTTGTGTGTGCAATATGCATCAGGTAGTCAGCGAACAGACTTTGGGCGAGAACCTGGAGGTACCAAGAGTACAACAGCTTGTGACCAGCAGCGATTTAATCTCTGTCAGTGTGAAAACACCTGTACTCTTTTTCATCTTCCTCTCTCTCTCTCTCACCTGAGGCTTGGACCTCCATGATGTACTGGTGCAGGTCTTGCCCCTGCTGCATAACCTCATAGGTCATGTTGTTCATGGCCAGCTTTCTCTCCGCGTGCCGCTGGAGTCTCTGTTCGGCCAGACTGGGTTCTTCTGCGCTAAAGTCGTTTACCTGTCGGACCAGGTCCTCATTCCACGCGTCTAACTCTGCTGTTACCTGCAGGACAGGAAGGATAGTTCAACACCTCTGCACCTGGCCTGATGGCATTCTCATAGCAATTATAAATCAATCACTTCAGTCATTTATGATGAACAATGAGATTTCAAAATTCATCTCAGAGCCGTTTTTTTCTGGGATCAACTGTTTTTAAAAATCTCTATTGAGAAAATTATTAAAACACTATCTAGCATGCAAACACACTGTGTTCACCTCAATGGTGTACTGCTCAAAGATGCGCAGTTGCAGGAATATGTCAAGTTTGATCTTCCTCTCATGGAAAAGTTCCTCCATGTGGCCCTGGGCCTCCTCTAGCTGCTGTAGGACGCCCTCGATGTGAGCGATAGAGCTCGTGTGAGGCATCTTATTACTGCTCATCGCCGAGTCTCTGAGAAACACACAACTAATGTGTTAAGAGTGTGAGTAAGGGTTAGTCTAGAACCATTGCAAATTGCTTATATTAAAGGAATATTCTGGGTAAAGTTTATAAACAACATATCTGTGGCATTCTGTAAATTATTTTAACTCCAGTTTGTAAAATAAAATTAGAAACACGACACTAGTACACTTACAATTGGTGTACAGTATGACAGACTTTACACACACACACACACTTATTTTTTAAATCTCTGGAATTATGGGTGTACTTTCAAAACAGTGTTATGGCTGCATATATTTCAAACACTTATTCAGTGCTGCATACTTGCAATGTAAGAACAAAAGCAGTGGAAAAAAATACAATGTTCTGGTAATGTTTGTGCCAGGACATTATCCTTTAAGTTTATGGACATTTCATTCAACCCTATAACACAACACAATGCAATGCTTAGTTCAAAATAGGGGTAAAACACCATCATAATTCAGTGAAAATTCCATCATATTAAGATAGTTGTAATGTGTAGTCAGCAGCACGCACGAAGAAGATACAAATAGACAGTCTTTATAAACCATGCAAAATACTCACATGAACATGAGATCACATGAGAAACGCTAACTACATAAATCATAAACGAGACTGACAAGGGACTGAACATAACAGGGAGTGCAGATACAAGGTGAAAATAATGGTGCAAATTATAGGTAACCATAGAAATAAACGAGGACATAATCAATAACTTAGGAAACTGAAACTAAACAGAGCAAAACAGGAACTAAAGGAAACAAAACCGAAATCAAAATAAGAGTCTATAAATGTGATAATAGTACATTGAGATCTGATTTTACAGACTTTTCTTAAGAGTGTGACTGTTAGACTTCCATTATGTATATTTACTGTAAATAGTTGTCAAGATTTGGCTGGTGAGCATGGTCCACTAAGCTGCTGCCGCTGTAATATACCATTAAGTTGCCAAAAAGTATTTGGTAACACTGTTTTTTACAGTCCTTGTTACATGTTACATGTAGTAATAACTACAAATTATACATATACATGTGACTAACCCTAAACCAAACCCTAACCCTATTGTAAGTTCATGTTGATTTTTGTTTATTCAGTACTTAAATGTACAATTACACTGAAACATGGACACCTTAAAATAAAGTGTAACCAATCATTTTTCTTGATGGCCATTCAAAAGCAGTGTTTTCTGATGATGTAAAAATAAGCAATAAACAAATCGAATAAGATTTCATCATTGTATTTTACAATGTCTTTCACAAGTGTCTTTCAACAATGTTTGGAAGTTTAAATATCAAGGATATGTAAACATTTGAACAGGATAATTTGTGTTAAAGGGGTCATATAATGCCATTTTTGTACAAGTTAATATGAATCTTTAGGGTCTAAATGAAAACTTTGTAATATACTTTTATTAAAAATGCTCATTAGTATTGTAAGAAAACACTAATTTTACCTGGTCAAAAACAGCTCTGTTTTCAGCACGCCGTTTCAGTGCATTTGCCTTTAAATGATAATGAGCTTTGCTTAACCCCGCCTCTCTGTTCTTTGAGGCGTTTTGACACAACACACGTGGAGTGTTTCCTTACGGAAGCGTATTGCATTCACTTGAAGAAAAAATCTACTCTGTTTTTCTGAATTAACAAGTTAATTATCTCAGAATTAGAAGATAATTTTTCATGGGAAAAAAGTTTTTGCTCTGTTTTTCTGAATTAACGAGTTTATTATCTCAGAATTACAAGATAATTTTTCATGGAAAATTTTTTTTGCTCTGTTTTTCTGAATTAATGACTTGATTATCTCAAAAACTCAGAAATTCAGAAAAACAGAGCAAAAACTTTTTTTCCATGAAAAATTATCTCGTAATTCTGAGATAATTAACTCGTTAATTCAGAAAAACAGACCAAAAAAAATTTCTATGAAAAAATGATCTTGTAATTCTGAGATAATTAACTCGTTAATTCAGAAAAACAGAGCAAAAACTTTTTTCCATGAAAAATGTTCTCGTAATTCTGAGATAATTAACTCATTAATTCAGAAAAACAGAGTCGATTTTTTTTCTTCAAGTGAATGCAATACGCTTCCGTATTTCCTTGACAACAGTTGAGGGGATATTTTGGAACAAGAATGGCAGCGGGAGTCTCTGAGGACACATCTGTGCAACCGTATGAGTTTGAACCGGAGTCGGACCCGGAACAAGATGACGGCCCGAAGAAGTTCGACAATTAAGGCTCGAACAGGACGTTTCTGAATGGTTGGTTAACGTAATGTCACTTTGATCTATTTTTGTATGTACTGGCAGGGTAGAGTAGTGAGATACGAACGCTATTCGTTTACTGATGTATAGTTTAGTTCGTTGACAGATTGACGTTTAAGTTAATGGTCATGAACAACTTTTTTTCGCGATTTGCAAAGATTAATAAAACTTTACACTCACTTCTTCTGGAGGTGCAGCGGGGACACGAATAGTTGGTACCGATTCTTTTTTCAGGAGTAGATTCTTAGCAAAACCAGCTCATACTGACCCTCGTTTATAAAGCAGTCTGGTGAGAAATGATTCGCGCAAACATGAAAGCATTGACGTTGCTCGTGGGGAATATTCCCTTCGAAAACAAAACTCACCCACTGCGTCTTCAGCGGTTCGGATTTAGGAACATCAAAATGAATGCTGTGTTCGTTATTACACCCAAGAACAGAACACCACAATCGCCATTCTGCTCCAGTGTATCAACAATTGCGGACAATGATGACAGCTCGCTCAGGGCGGGTCTGTGTTGAAACGCTGCTGCCAATCAACAATCGTGGGAGGGGCGTCTGATTTAGTGACGTCACAAAATCGAACGGCTCAATTTGAGGCAGGGGAAAACATAAGGAGATTAAAACAAAAACACTGGGTGGATTTTTATCAGGGTTCTAAATTAACACCCGCCAACCCGCCAAATGCGGGTTAAAATTCATTTTGGCGGGTGTTAATAAAAACTTACTAGCCAGTTTGGCCGGTGATGCATAAGGCTCTGTTCTCGGTCATTTATCCCCCTGGCAGTACTTCCTACATTTCCCATGAACACTGTGCCGTAATGCTACGTGATGACGTTTCATACGCCCATTGGCTGCGCGCAGTTTGCAGTGAAATCAGCGCAAGAAATGATCATGGAAATTGGAAACGAACGGAGCGTACGCGTCCGTCCACCAGAAAAAACAAGGAAGATGAAGAACGAGCCAGAGCAGGGAGCATAGACTGAAAGAGGAGGGAGCTAGTAAAGTAAAAAGTTAAGATTAAACTAAATGCGGCGGTGGTTGGGACAGACTTCTGGGTTTAAATTTAAATGTCGTTTAACGAGAGATACGTTATTTTTTTAAGTTTAAGGTTTTTGTCATTATTTCTGAACAAGCGTATACATTAGGCAATATACACAACAAGCTTACTATATATCTTAAGGTTTTCTTTTAGGTGAAAACGATACTCGGTTACTAACGTAACCTCGGTTCTCTCTAGAGAGGGAACGAGTATTGCGTAAGTTTAGCTTACGCTACGGGAAAGATTCATCTTCTCGAGATATTGAAGCCAAAAAATTATCCTAATTTTGTATTCATTGTCAACGCAGTGCAGCAGCTAGCAGACCTAGAGCAGGCAGTCTAGCGTGCTCATTGGCTGCCCTGCAGGCAACTGCTGCAGCCTACCAGTGAGCCCGGCGTGACGTCACGCCCAATGAAGGGCGCTCGCGCCTTCATAGCGTCACAGCCCGCCAGAATGGGCGTGGCTTAGCGTATAAAAGAAGGGGCTCGTAGGCTGAATTCCCTGGTTTTTCGACAACTGAAGCGAAGTCGCTCGTGGCGCGAGCACGGCCGGTTACGCAATACTCGTTCCCTCTCTAGAGAGAACCGAGGTTACGTTAGTAACCGAGTATCGTTCTCTTACGAGAGGTTCTCTCGTATTGCGTAAGTTTAGCTTACGCTACGGGAACACTTTGTCAACGCCGTGCGCGCCAAGCATCCACCATGAGACCCCGAACTTCAGGGGAGCCCAATAAGTGGGAAAAATAAGGTGGCCAGCCATGCGGGCCATCACTTGTATATAAGCACACATAGGGAATACAGAGCAGCGCGGTGGTCTGTATAGGCACATGGCACATACCCTACTGGTGCAGCTCAACCAGGAGAGCTGAGTCACGTGAGAGTGATCTGAGCAGAATATCTGGGCAGAATACACATCCCTTTCAAACTGACAAAAGTTTAGCCTGCAAGGCGGGAACCTCTAGGTTATAAAACCTGACAAAGGTAGACGGGGAGCTCCAGCCCGCCGCTACACATATGTCATGGATAGAGATCCCACTGGACCACGCCCACGACGAGGCAACGCCTCTCGTGGAATGAGCCCTGATACCCAAAGGGCATTGCAGACCTTTTGACGCGTAAGCGGCTGCTACAGCGTCCACTATCCATCTGGACAGGCTCTGTTTCGAGGAGGCGAGACCCTTGGTGCGCCCTCCCAACGAAACAAACAGCTGTTCCGAACGCCTGAAGGAGGCGGAGCGCGTAATGTAAAACCTCAGCGCCCTAACAGGGCAGAGGAGATTCACATCACTTTCGCTGTCAGATGCTGGCAGAGCTGACAGTGAAATGACTTGCGCTCTGAATGGAGTGCCCATCACTTTAGGGACATAGCCATGTCTAGGTCTGAGGATGACTTTAGAGTCATTCGGCCCGAACTCCAGACACGATGCGCTGACAGACAGCGCGTGCAGGTCCCCCACACGTTTTACTGACGACAGTGCAATCAGAAAAACGGTTTTTAGTGATAGATATTTCAACCCCACGGAGTCCAGTGGTTCAAATGGAAAAGCTTTCAGGGCCTCGAGGACCAATGAAAGATCCCACACAGGAACCGACGGGGGGCGCGGCGGGTTCATCCTTCTAGCTCCTCTAAGGAAGCGGATGACCAGCTCATGTCTTCCCACTGGCCGTGCGTCGGCTCTGCGAACGCTGCCACG